AGATTTCATCTTACATAGTTTAATACTTAGCCAGAAGAGGTTTTTGGGAAATGTGTGTGTGTGTGTGTGTGTGTATACATTGTGTTTATATTCTACACCACATGTTTATGACTAACATTTATTGAGTGCTTAGTACATGCCAGACACTGTCAATTCTACTAGATATAAGTTGTTTTTATTCTCCAAACAGGAGAGCCCCAGAGACTCTCTCAAGGACCTGGCTGAGATCATACTGTAACTTTTCAGAGAGAGAATTCTATCCCCAGTCCTCAAAACTCCAGTATGAATATTTCTAACTACTTTGTGCTGAAGTTTTCACCTGGTTCACCAGTTATTCTTGGTGCACTAAATTATCAGTTAATTAGAATCCACATTAACAAGATTCCTCAAATTACCTGAATCTTAATTCCATTAAAAAGAAGTAAAGCAAGGGGCCTGGCATGGAGGCTGAGTAGCCTTTAATCTCAGCTACTCAGAAGTCAGAGACAGAAAGATAGAAGTTTGAGGTCAGCCTGGGCAAAAAGTAAACTCAAACAAACTAAAGCAACAAGGACAGGGGGTAGTTGTCTAGCAACGACAAGGTCCTGAGTTCAACCCCAGTATCACCAAAAACAACTTAAAAAGCAAAGCAGCAAAATCAAGGAAAGAAAAGAAAAAGATGAGAAGTTGTTATTTTTAGCACAGAGCTATTTAAACCTCTTTAATGGCTTCCCATTGCAGATGGAATAAAGTTCACATTCTCCAATATTATCTATAAAGCATTGTATGATCTGATGTCTGCCTATTGTTTTTTGTTTTTTGCTTTTTTTTTAGCCTCATCTTTTACCTTCTTTCATGAGCTAAAGGTCACACATATATCAAATGTCAGAGCCAGGATCCAAACTCAGAACGACTGACTCTAGAACCAGGTTCTTAACCACATTGCCAGTTGGATGGATAGATTGGATGAATGGACAAATAGACAAATACATATAGGAGGATAAATATGTGTATGAATGAATGGGGAAAAGGAAGGAAAGGAGATGTATAAATGAATAGATGGATAAAGTAAGGGAGGGAAGAAAGAAGAGAGAGAGACCATTTAAAAAGAAACTTGGAGTACTCGTTAGGCTCCTAACAAGTCAGATCTATTATGGTCTTTGCATCAGCATCTGTATGATCTTCGGTAAGACTGGGACCTTTCACATGTAATCTTATCCATCCAACAGATGAAATCAAAGTGAACCCGAGGTATGGAGAGGTGCTCTGTGTCCAACTTCAGAAGCTAATCCAGTTAAGTGACAGCCCTTATGTG